ACACAACCACAACCACACACACACTGGGGGCTAATTAGAGCCCATTCACACCATACACTAATGATCCCAGCTCTTATTCACACACACTTTAGCAGACTGTGTGTTTACTGAAGGGCCCCACAGACCCCTCCACTGCACCACTCGTACCATTCTGCCTACAATAGAAATAGACGATGGTGCAGCCCTCCAACCTGCTTCTTCAGGGGCCAGGATGAGATCTACTCCTTCTTTTTTTCTATACAAACTTCTCCATGACTTAGCCAAGTCATTCACAAAGACACTCACACAAAACATAAAAACAGAGCCACAGAGAGAAAGGAGAGGGAGAGGGGTCAGTCAGAGGAGAGCTATAAAAACTGCCAGATCTGGGCGTGTAGTTGCTGCGGTGGTGTGTGTGTGTGTGGGTGTTGCTGTGTGTGTGTGTGTGTGTGGTTGTGTCTGTGTGTATGTGCGCAGTTTTAAAAGAAAAGGTATCGCTACACCAGCGGGGGCCCCCAGCAACAAGAGTTAGGGCACTCCTGGGTTGGCGGCCTGGGACTGATTTAAGAGTGTGTTTGAAGTGCAGATTACAGATTCTTTGCACCAAATCCCTCCAGGAGTATCCATGGCCCCTGGAATCTCTCTCAGGTTTCTTCTCAGGTCCGGCCGTGGCTGCTCGCCCCAGCTTGAAGTCCTCTGGACTGGCCGGAGATGAGGACCAAGGCCGGACACGCCGGGGCAAGATGAGACACACGCACACACGCGGGATGCAAACCATTAAGACTACATTTGTAAGAGCAGTCCTGTTAACAACAACAAGACTTTGAAAGACAAAGAAATGTTTTGGTGGGTGTACCTAACTGTGCGTCACCATTTGTGCATTTATACACTGGGACTATGTGCAGGGGCAGAAATGCCTACAGCAGGAGTCAGAAGCAGCGTTGGGAAGCGGGAATGCTCCACATTCCCACAACGGGGATTCCAACATGGAGGTGAGAGTCTTCGCATGTCCTGCACATATGCAAAGTCCCTCACAGTCGGACTTTTGGTCAGCAGAATCATGACTACAGTCTTTAAGTGAAAGACAGTGAGCTGCAGTGTCACCAGCGAGCACAAGGGTATGTTTGTGTGTCACTGGTCTGAGAGTAAACAATGTGACTACCTAACACTGCTGTGTGCGCTTACACGTTCCCTCTGTCTACATACACGCACACTAGCAGGCTGCTCTGAAACGATCTCAACCCTGCAGAAGCTCTGCAGAACAGAGCTACTTTGTACATGAAAAACCATCAAGCTGCTGGGCAGAGCAGATAAAAACCAGCATTGTGCATCCTGATCATAAAAGCAAATCACACACAAAGACTAGTACGTAGTGTACTGGAAGATTCCCATGAAGGACCAGCAGTGTGCCGGCTCTGAAGGCATGCTAACTATTCCACCAGCAGTTTGTGACATTCTTGGACGTTTTGTTCACTTTAGCAGCAGGGAGAGTGTGTTCAGTCAGTATGGACTAACAGGGTGCAGGGAGCTGATGGAAGGACCTCTTAAACAAGGATTGATGGGAAGCAGCACAAGCAAGCATGGATGTTCTCACAAATGAATGGTCTATTGGTATTATTTGAGCAACTCAGCCTAATTGAATTTACAGCTATAAACAACTTTTAATGGGAAAAAACACAACATGTTCTGTGAGAACTTGCATTAAATCAACCGAGAGCCACTTGTGAGATGACATGTTTCATAACAACACATTAGGTCAACTACTTATTCTGCTGGCAACAATACGAAATTCCATTCATCTGATGAGTGGTCAAATAATAACATTGGCTATTTCAGGGCGAAATTTACAAAAAGCAAACCAAACGTCATGGTTACTGTCAAACATCCGCTCATTACGCTTTAATCAGGCTATTTTGTCCAGTTTGAATTCTCACACCAACACACTGCGTCTGCAATTAATTTTTTGGATGCGGAAAAAAACAAATCCCAAGTTTTTACCATCCATTACCAAGTAATACTTTTTAAATTAACCGTTCTGTTTGATTTCTCCCTCTTTTCTTGCAACTGTTATGCCAATAATGCTCCTTTGAGGCAAGTTAAAGAGCTGGGAAAAAGGGGCTCTTGAGACCGAGGCCACGGAGGCAGCCCCATGCTGGCCAGCAAACAATGCTGTTTTGGAGAGCCAGAGCACTGGACTCAAATGAAACCTGGTGGGAGGGTACGAAGGGGGGGGGTTGAGGCCAAAACTGGACACGTCAGTTATTAGGTCAGCATTGAAGGGAGAAATGAGAGAGAAGGGGGAAAAGGAGGGAGAGCAGGAGACTGCGTGTGTGGTGGAAAGTCCTGAGCTGTATTGGTAAAATGACACTGGCAGAGCTGAGGGGTTTCTGCTGGTTTAACCATCAGCCCTCCAATCTCCCTCTGTCCCTCTTCCTTCCCCCAACTGCGCCTTCCGCCTGGTGATGAAACATTCAGACAGGGCCAGTGCCCAGGGTTTAGCGTTTCCAGAGTGCACGTCAAGGAAAAAGTCAGGTTTCTGCACTGAGGTTTGCACATTTTCACAGTTACCTGCGCATTTTTCTCTCTGTTTGCAAACTACAGAACAGTGTCCACTCCTGCTTATTTTTTGGAGTGGGAGCTCATTGATTCAGGCAAAGTCCAACCAAGTCAAGTGAGGCCGTTCGGTTTAACATGCAGGCGGGTAGAAAGAAAGAAGTGTGTGGTAGTGTACTCACTATATGGGACAATAGGACTCAGCATTCTGTGGAGCTGGTCTCAGTAAGGAGGAATGCTGTTTTGTGAGTGCCAGCTAAGGTTAGCGTCCGTCCGGCTGTAGTCCATCACTAGCATGAGCTCGCACTGACGACAGAACAACCCTGAGAGAGAGAGAAAGAGAGAGAGAGAGAGAGAGAGAGACAGAGAGTGAGAGAGAGGTGAGGCAGTTACAGGCTGCTGCACAATGTCTGGACAAACACTCACATGTCAACCAACCCTTTCACACAAGCTCACACAGCAACACAAACCTAAACACACACACAAACAGACAGACCAGAATTCACCCACAGTATGATAGAATTACTGACCAACCTGAGAACCCTATCAGTGTAACAAAAACAGAGTCCGCACACACACACACAGTCTGCCAAATTGACGCACACAAGGGTATTCATTATAGGCAGGCATTAAGCTGATTGTGAGGCTGCGTTCAGCCTCTAAAGAGGGCTTTCTAAATCTGCCTCACAAAAAGACTCATGCATACCATTGCTCCGTGCACTGGGGCAATAAAGACCGCATTCTTAGGAGACCAAACACTTTTGGAGTGAGATAACCAAAATGCAGGAGGAAAAAATGTTTCTTGTCATGACAAAGTTTCACTTCTGAAGTTATCTTAATTAATACATCTCTGTTTGAGGCGTGCTGAAAATTTAAATCATACTTCTTAAAAAACAAATTAATTCAGCCGTCTCTGATAAAATGTAAGGCAGAATTGAATATATCTCATTTCTGGTTAGAGTTGAAAATGTCATATTTTAATCATGCACAGATTAAAGACAGTTTAATCCTCCAGTTTCTGTTGTTTTATTCTGATACGAAGATTAAAACGAATGTTTTGTTTTTTCATAACAGCCATTAGGGTTATTTTTCATTTCTGTGGACAAAATTTTTTTATCCACATTGTTGCTAAGAAAATATGACTTAAATAGAGATAACTAAAATTGTCTTCCAGTTTTTAAAATGTGTGAAAACATTTTTAGCCACAAAGCCGTAAACATACAGTCCACCTATATGAAAAGGTGAGGCTACTCTATCTATTGAAAACACAAAAATCACAAGCAAGACATCACATAATCTCAGAGACAAAAAACAACAGTATTTAACAGCAGTAATGCAACATTTTGGCATTTACTGCTTTGGCACATTACTTCAGTTGTCACAGAGACTCTATCTTACTGAGTATGTATAAAAACAAGTCAGTAACTGATTCACATTCAGTCATATACTACAGATATTACGCAATGACCACACGGCTGTCCTTGGACACCAACAGGCTTCACGTACAGCGCTGCCTCCGACTACGACCGCCTCTGCTCTAAATGACAGTCAACTTCTAACTCTCAGCCCAGAATAACTAACTGACCACAGCTTCCACTTTAAAACAAACACAGCTCTGTACTTGCACAGTTCAGAGGGAGGCTGAAAAGGAGAAGGCAGAGTTAGCTTGCTCAAGGAAATATCTCATGGTCAGTGGCCAAAGAGGAGAGCTGCTACGACACGCTCAGCTCCGGTCCTCCTCCAACTTCAGCCAGCCAGCGGAGCCAAGTCAAACAGCAGGGAGAGCATGACAGCAGATCAACACAGAGATGCAGAGAAGACAGGCAGCCTTACCTATTCATGCCTGCATGTCTTCCATCAGATCTGAAAGCGCTACAATAATCCCTGGAGCAGACCAGACTCGTGTGTGTGCACTGCTGTGCTTTTTTTCCACATATGGGACACAACTCCACTCTCTCTCTCTTTCTCTCCCTCCCTCCCTCTACCTCTCTCTCTCTCTCTCTGGCCAGTGACAACAGAGTGAGCGCTCAGCTCCCCTCCCCCATGAATCTCCCATCCCCCTTTACCCTCCCCTCCTTCTCTCTCTTTATGCTAAAAGTATTTAAGTAGGGAGAGAGAGAGAGGGAGAGAATGAGGGGTGGGCAGCAGAGAGGGTGGGGGACTGACCAATCGTGCTCTGAAGGAGAGAGAGGGCGATCATACTGAAGCTTATACACAGAGGATAGTGGAGAGAGAGAGTGTTTGGTTGGAGGGAAATGACCAGGGTAAGTTTGGTTTGCCTCCGGAAGATTAGGAACAGTGGTCAGATTGTGGTGAAAACACACTGAGGAACAATCTCTTATTTCTTCTCTGACTGACTAAAACAGAAGAGAAGTTACTTGAGACATTTTATCATTTGGTGATTACTTAATTTAAAAGTAATTACATTAGTTAACTCATAACAGCAGAAAAATATGTTGTTACTTGTTACATACCTTTTTCATTACTTAGCTCAACTCCTTCAAAGATGTCTTCCAAGTATTCCAAAGCCACCACACCTCACATCTTCAGAGTGTAGCATGTTTAGAAATATAGAAAACAAGACAATGTGGTTTAGCAAGTAGCCAGCCAACAGTTTAGAGGTATTTACTTATTAACAGCTAGTTCAGCTCCAGGGGACTGCTCTCCAGTCACTAGCACTCCAGACCAAAAGTCTTAGTCACATAACGCTGAGCCACGATTTTTATAGTATGTATCACGATCCAGGGTGGTCTTCTCCCAGAACGCATTTGAGACACTCATAGCATCCATTACAGGAAGAATGTTTTAAAAAACTTTTAAAAAGGTGAATAAGTAAACCATTATTTTGTGTCTGAAATCTTGCAGCCACTTATATTTTACCAGCATTTGGTTGGTGGCTGATGCTAATTTCCCAGAATTTGTCAACAACTTATAAAGTGGGAACGACAGCTGCTTCAGATGGATGTGAAGTAACAACCTGGTGTACTTTGACTAAGGAACGTGTCTTCTATGTTAGTCTGAACAAACCATGTAGAATCAAAGATGCTGCTCTTCTTCACCTCAGACTGGAGTGTTGCTTAGTGCTGCCACCGGTGGCTGAAAGATATATAAAGGAGACCTCTTTTATATTCAATAACGTTGTAATATACATGTGACTGCAGTCCAGTCCACTAGCAAGGAGATCATTCTGCACTGTTCTTTTATTTTAAATGGTTTGTATTGACTTTGATAAAGATACCTTTCTGGGTCATGGTAATTACCATGGTGTTTTTTTACATTACAACTTCCTGACGTTGTGTTTTCCCTACTTAAAAGGTCCAGTGTGTAGTATTTTGTGGCATCTAGTGGTGTAGTTACATATTGCAACTCTGATGGCCATAAAACGTGCATTACGATTATTATTTTCAGGTGATTATACACTAATAAGTAATGAATATTATATTTCTGCCAATAGATCCTTGTAAATGTTACACACTGGACCTTTAAAAGTCTTTAAAAAGGTTGTTGCATTCCAGGAGATGGCTATCACGGTCTTCAAAGCAAAGCCACTCGGTTTCTACCTTCCCAACTCTGAACAAAACCAAGTGACTCTTGAATGTAGGCTTACCAAAGGCAAGAAAGTCAGTTAAGAAGACAAAACAAAAAAGACAACCTTGGAGTTACCAGAAGGTGTATTCGTCCTTTCTGAGATGAAGATAGCCACGTCCATTCACCACCAGCCCAGTCTGTCCATTGAACGCACATTGATGAAACTGATCAACCTCCTACCCTGGTAAGACAGAAAACAATGGAAACTTCTTATTAGTGGAAAAGTAACAACACGACTGCAACATTGATGATGACAAAGAATATCACACAAATAACAAAGGAAGGATTCTGGCCCTTGTACAACACTCCTTATGGATGAATCTGATTGGTTAAATCTTACCTGTGATTGATGGTGTTAGAAACCAGCAAAGTATATTTATTTCTTATTTATAAAGATATGTTTTGGGCTTTTGATGCTTTTATTTGATAGGACAACTGAAGATAGACAGGAAATTGGGGGAATTGAACCTGCGGTTTTTGAAAGTGGTTGCCCTTTTTTATGGACAGCCTCCCATATGGTTTTGTGTAACCATCTTGCGCATCTCTTTAGAGGTTTATGGTATTCACAGTAAAACTTTTAAAGAGAACACAATCTGAAACCTAAATATGCAATACTTCTAGTAAACACTATAATAGTGTTAAATATATTTGATGTGTTTATGATCCAATATTCATGTCACTCAGAAATGTTTCAGAACTCCATCCATCTCATGGTCAGATGCTGTTCCAGTTTCATTTACTTGCTCTTCGCACACAGCTGTCAGGCTGTTTTTAGCGCCACACTGAGGGCCCAGTCATCTCCTCCTATTACACGGAGCCTGTACTCCAGTCAGGCTTCCCTGTTGCACTGCTGCACAACCTACAGGAAACCACCCACACACACATAGTCCACCACAAATATTCATATAGAAGTGAGCACACAGTGGACCAGCTGAAAATAGAGAGGGACATTGCGACCATATGTTTGGTGTCCAGAGCATCCCATGCACTTCAACATGTGACAGTATTATGGAAAGTGTTTGCTATCAGAGTAGCTTGGAGGCCCGCTGACATGGAATGAATCATCCTGTACTGTAGCCATGCATGTTGTCTGGTGATATAACTTTCTTATCATTAAAGGATTGTTTTTGTTTATTACAACTTGGATCCTATTTTCAGAGTTTTGGCTATTAAATACTATTGATTATATTAACATTATACCACATGATGTATTGGTAACATCAAGGAATGCAACAATTCTAAAATGAAGTCATTTGGGGAAAAAACAAGGGCAGTTTTAAAAAGGTTCTTGTGTTAGTCGAACTTATATGGAAGATGAAATGGAAGCAAATGAAAAAATAAAAATTATTATCCGAACTGTCCATTATAAACACCCATCATTTTACCGACCAACTGGTTTTACTTTGACCTACCTTGACGTGCAGTTTCCTGAGCAATGCTGGCTTGTTGTCAACATATCTGATCACCCGACCACTCGTGTTTCTTGCTCTGTCAGACTTTTTTGTATCAATGTTTCCCTAGTCTCGGCAAGTACTTTAGTGAGTACAGATAGTTATAACAGATAGAACTGATGGTCCAAACTGCAAAAATAAAATCCAAGTTGTAATAAACTGTAATTATCCTTTAAACACATGGCCTCACAGGGAGCTATTTTAGGAGATGCCCCAGTGGTCAGTGACATGGCTCAAATTGGAATGTAGGGCAATAAACCCATTGGAGGAAACGCTGCAACTCATTAGAGTGGTTACAAAACTTAACACACCCAGTGAGTCCCAGTTCAGAACCACAATTAGACTGCTTAATGTTTTCCCTAATATGGGAACCTCAATAGATTTGCTAATGGTGTCTCTGTGGGGGGTTAGGTGAGGGTACGGTTGAGTAGGGATGTTGAAAGCAGACAACTCTGGCGCTCTCTCTATCACTCTATTGCCTTATTAGTGCTGAGGCAGCAGTGTGTGGACACAGGCAGCCTGCTGAGCCCAGCACTACTGAAGCACAAAGACTTCAGGGCCCCAGGCCATGAGACGAGCCAGAAACTGAGAAAAATAAGACTGAAATAGTTTGAATGAGACAAAGACAGAGCAGGTATGCCTGCACAGACTAGTTCCAGTGTCACATGAGTGATTTTGACAGGTGTCAAAAAAGATCCCGCCCCTCTCCACTGACATGCATTAAGATATTTCTGCACACTTGTGACAGCTCAGGCTCCCCAAACATTCACAGGACATTCAGTCCCATGTACACCGGGGGACGTTGGTTACTGTCAGGGCTGGGAGGTTGCGTAGGTGCCTCGTGGTTGGAGGTTAATGGAGAGATATGAGAGGACAGACAAAAGAGCCATGGCAGGCTGAAAATGACTCCTGAATGGACAGAGGGTGCAGGTCAACACGCTAGTGTTTGACCTAATACTCCAGGGCATGTCAACTCAACACCTCCGTTCAGTAGGTTGTTCGCCCAATGATAAACTGTGTTAGCAGGTCAGCTAGTTTCATTAAGCCAAACTGATGAATCAGGCTTATATTTAATTAGGTTAAATGAATATCTGCATGCAGCACAGCCCCACAGGATGATTAGCTAAGCAAAATATAATGTTTAATGGCTGTGTGTAGACATAGATCCTCATCTGAGAGAGTGTGTCAAAGTTGTAGCTCTACTATGAAAGTACAGCGGAGAGCAGACATCCTGCACTCCTTCACACTGAACATCAGAAAACTGTTATGGACAAAGTTTGGGGCAAACAAAATTCTTTTTTTTTTTTACCTTACTGCCTTTTCTTTCTTTCCGTCTGTTCACAAAAACGGGTGTTGCAAATTAGCGTCTGCTAAAAAGCATCAGATAGCTGTCTTCAGCCTGTCTATGTTTACTGTATCTGTCCCCATCAAATAAGCCATACAGAAATAATTGCTATGGCTAGAGCAAAGTGCTAAGTTGTGTGTGAGGACAATTATAATGTATCCCAGCTGTCATATGCACACACTGTGTTTGGGTTAAGTGGATTATAAGTATAGATAGGAGGGGTGTGGTGATCAATATACTGTCAGCCAGTCAACTTACATGTCTCATACCACTTAGAAAACTAGACATTAGACTGTGTGTTCAGGATGTAACCAGTGACACTTTTTGCTATCAAAACGTCTTCCAAATATGTTTGTGATTTTTAAAAATCAGGCAGCTTCACTAATATCATATTTCATTCATTTTAGAGCAAGTTGTTGGAACCAATAAACATGTTATTTTCTGTTAAAGTGTAAAACATACAGGTTAGTAAATCTAGTAACTCAGTTGCTCAATCGGGTAAGTGGTAAAAAATAATTACACACATCGTTTTTTCTGGAGCTGATGGTGGAAGTAACTAAGGAGTGAGCCATTTTGCCAACTTGTCATCTCTGTTGAGAATTGCGCATGCACAGTACTGATGCACATGTGCAGGGTAAAAACAACATTTATGATGATTTCAACTATCATGGAAACAAGAGTTTAGTTGGGTGGCATTAGAAGATGTGGGTGAAACTCAGACTATGAACTGTGCAGTTAATCGCAGGTTTGAGGGCAAAGGAGTGCCATAACACGAGCCGACAGCATCTCACTTGGCAGCTAAGAGGGTCTTTGCTGTTAGTTGATAACCACTTATAAATACAACTCTTTCTGTTCTGGCAAGTAAAAATTAAGTTAAGATTTCTGACCCACTTGCCTGACCAGGCAAAATTATTCAAATACTCAAATTCCATAGAGACTGTAATTGACATTGTAGATAACCATTGAGGTTGGGGGCTTTATGAGGTCGCGTATCAGACTTATGGTCTCACCTCAGGAGACTAATTGTTTCCAGGACTGTGTAGACTGCCCATACCAGAGCAAGTAATTAAAGGAAACTAAACATCCAAATTCAAACACATAGGCCTGCGAGCAGAAAAAGATGGCAAACAAATTTTTGACATTTTGTTTTTCAAAACACATATTACACATAATTTCCTGTACGCCCCCTTCTGTGACAGCATCACAAAGCTCAATGAAACACAAAAGTGTTTCAGGAAACAAGACGTTGAAAAGCAATCTACTGACACTAAAGTTGAGTGTGGACACGGAGGAGGAGTGTGTGTAAGGATTGTGTGTGCTTTTACGTATAAACAAACAATCCACAAATGTGCATGTGTGCCTGTGAATGTGTGCTGGTAGTGATAATCAGCTCCAGGCTCCCAAGGTTGGCCGATATCATTTCATTAGAGCAGAGGAGCGAGTGTTGAGACTTTGGCCAAGATTAGGGCAGAGTGAGAAACTCTACCCCAGGCCCAGTTGCCCTGAAGAGGGCTGGCCGAGTGGTGGAGGAAGGGACAAAGTGTGTGTGTGTCTAAGAAAGAAAAGGACGGGGGGGTCAGCAGGATTATTAGTGGGAGGTTCAGCTGTTTATTATTCCAATTCTATCTCTAACAGCTGAAAATTGGAGAATTAGGCGGCAGCCCTGAGCAACCTGGGGATCAATGCAGAGGGGTTAAACCCTGTGGCATGGCAGCACACACTGACAGCACTCACAGATACTGACGCAGCACATACACACACACCACAGAGGTCATTCACAAAACTTAACAGACACATCAGATTTACCGCTCTGAAGTGATAAGACACTCACAGACTTCACAGGTCGATGAATAGCTTCACACTTTAGACGTGGGGGAGCATTTAAAAAAACATAAGGCTATGTGAGTTGGCTTATAAAAGCTTGAGGTTTGTTAAAATTCTATTGAGCTGCCTCTTGCAAACTAGAGCAATATTTCTAAAAAGCCTCGAACACAAACAAAGCCCCTTGATTCTGTACAGCATTTATAGAGAAACTATTTTCACTGTCTTTATGCTGCTGATCATGACCTGTGAACAGAGAGAAGCTAGAGAGAAAACCAGCCATACAATCTCTTTAAACCAGTCAAAACACAGGCAATCCACCTCTCAATACATCCTTTGCACACATGGACTTTCTTACATACACTGTAGTGTCAGAGGGTCTCCTGTCACGTCCATGCATGTTGCTAATCTGAGGAGGGACATGTGACACTGGGAACTGGGAAACCTGAACTTTCCACACCATGCAGGCATTCAGTCTAAGAGCATGGAAACAGGTCTTTGGGCATATGGAGGTCAGGAAGTTGAATTTAGATTTAAAATGGGTTTCTAGCTGTTTCAAATTACAATCTGTGTGGGCATTTTGTGTTTTTTTAGCATCTTAGGTTTGCTTTCTGTTCTGAGGCAATAGGTAGGCTAACAGTTAGACTAACTAGATGAGATAAAAGGAGAGAAGGTCTTAATCCTGACGCAGTCAAACATTAACTCCAGATGTGGAGATCTTAACATCACCTCTGTGGATCAGTTATACTGCTTGCTGACATCTGGACTATAGCTCTTAATGCCTCTCATGTCAATTTACAATGAAAAGAACTGAAATCACAGGCAAAGAACAGCAATTATAGAGTGTAGAGTGTCAATGCTGCTTGTGGGATTATTCCTTAATGTTAACAGTAGATTAAAACCTAGTGTGTGTGTGTGTGTGTGTGTGTGTGTACATCCTTTCAGCCTGCCAACTGTAAGCTGTAATTAAAGACAGTGTGCAAATCTACTAGCTGCAAGACCTAACACTAGTTACTATCAATAAGACACTAAATGTGATTTAATCTCTGAGTTCACCAGGTCCAACCCATGAACACTCTCATATTATACTTACCTGCCATCTTCCCCTTGAATCTACAGAGGCATATTTTAATAAAATAATCATTAATACATCTAACGACACTACTGCAGAGGCACACTTCTCTTTGTGTCCTACAAATGAGGGCAAGTTGATCAAAAATGATAACTGATGCAAAACAGAACCTTGCTTACTAAGGCCGGTTGTAACTTGATGCTACAAGTCACTGACATTAATTTGCAAAAATGCTTACTTAATGAAGATGATTTCCTTAAATAATGGCATGCATTTATTCACTGTGAATAGGTCAGCTGCAAATTGCATGAATGTATTCATTATTTTAAATATCTTCCAATGGATTCCATCTTTTGGCGTAAGGCTGAACAATGACTCTCAGAGCACACTTTGCACTTTCAGCCTACTCAGCTGGTTGAAAGAAACTTTATCCTTGGGGTTTAACCACAGTCACACAAGTGTTGCACATAGCAGCCGTACAATAGAAAGCTGATACTGAAAACTGACAATGGAGACTGGCTTTGATGACAAGCGCCTACTTGCAAAAAATGACTATTCTGTCACCTCGCTATTCCTATTAAATTTACCACAGTTTGGTGCAATTATGTGTCTATTATCACAGATAAAAACATGTCACTGTTAACTGAGCTAAACCTCTGGCTTGTTTTCTATGAAATCACTTATAGGATATTGATCAAGTTACCTCTATCTGGCCATACAGATATATGTGAATAAAATCTCACTTAATTATGACTCAATCACCAGCCTCTCAAACTAGCAGCTATTGATGTGTTTGTGGCAGAAAGGACTTCTAGAAAATTGATCAAAAATTGATTTAATTTGGAAAAGACAATTTATATATCCAGGGCAGGCATAAGGGAAATCAATGTTTACCATCTACATGCAAAACAGAGTGTGAGCGAGTGCATCCAGTTA